ATCATATACAGAGAGACACATTTAAAACTACTTTAAAATACTCCCATTGTTGTTTCTCACATAGGTGGTAAAAAATCTGGTAGAGCCTCCTTAATGAAAATGGATACTTCAGTGTATGTGATATATTGCAATATAAATACACAGTAAACTATGAATAAATAGATTCACATATAAATGTGGAGTATAGGCTGGCAAGAATATTCAAATATGAATGTATAAATGCGTAATGTACAAGTTTGAGACCAGTCACTTTTTCTATATATGTATAGCTTCTTTCCACTTGTGATGGACAGCTACCTTGGATAAGATACCCACTGGGGAGACTGTAGACCTACGGCACATAAATTTTGCACATCGTGGTTTCAGTTCTGTATGCACAACACCATGCGCTAGCACTTCCAGCAGAGGCTAGACACAGATCCAATGATCGTTGCTGTATCACAGTGGAATGACACAGCTTTTGGAACCAAGCCACTGTAGTTCCCTGTTGTACCAAGAGTGTAGATTATAAACAGTTGTGAATGTCAATATAAACATCCGACATAGATAGTAACAGATTGTCCCATCCTCTGATCATAACCAAACATGTCAGTGCACTGTGTTAACAGTGCAGCTCCAACCAGGATATATAGTAATTCAGCAATTGTCACTTTTAGAAAACTCATGGTTCTACATGTCCCTTAAGAAGGTATTGGCGCTGCTGGTAGAGCCAGGAGTGGTGGTTTGGCAAATGTGCATATTATATACAGAGACTATGATGTGACTGGAAAGGCCACCTTGGTGGATACAACAAGAGATTATACAGCCGCACAGGACTATCTGTCCACGGTATATTCCATTGTGACATACTATTCACAATTGAAACTTGGGGGTTAACCGTCGAAGTCTCATGTCTATGTCCATACATGTTCTCGCCATTCATAAGATCACCGGTCAGCAGAGAAGCTTTGACTTGAGGAAGCAAAGCCCTCTGCTTTACCAAGATAGTGTGAAACAAGGCATGGCAAGTCAGTGTTGGGAAAAAGATCAGCTGCAGGGAGACCAAAGGCATAACTGCTAACAAGACCAGTCCTTTGTCTCTGTCCTCTGTTTCAAATTGCCATCTTCAGCATTAGCATAACTTATTAGCATAACAAGAATATCTGCATGTCAAAACTAAATTAAAGAAGTTATCCTAGAGGTGGGTTTTTTTGGCATGGTGATCACGAGACTTTGGTTGTAAACAGACAGTAAGGTTAACATTAGGGCTAGTGTTAAGGCAGAGTTTGTGTTAAAGTTGGCTTTGTTTATTAAAGAAACCAGTGGACACCATGTTAGTACTAACATGGTGATCACATGAATTTATAAGAAAAGCCATGTGAAATATTTATTTATTTTTGACCAGAAAATTTTACCATAGCACTCTACATAGCAAAATGTAGGCAATTTTGAGGACATTTTTATATTATGACCTTAGCCATGTGTTCATTAAGATTGGGCAAACACTTTTTAGCTCACTGCTGCATGTTTAGGTGCATATTCACACCATCTGCATTTGGGCTGCGCTGGCCGTTTTTTCAAGTGCAGCCCAAATGCAAGACAAGGCAATTTGCCTTGTCACGGACGGTGACGGTCAGTCCACCCCACTGTGTTCCAATGGTGTACGCCTAAAAAAAGTACAGCATGCAGTACTTTTTTAAAGCGCACCACAGTGAGGCGTGGTACAACCGCATCACACTGCATTGAGCCCATAGAACTTAATGAAATATCACTTTCCACTCCAGCGGTTTAAGGTCCCGTGAATCATCACGTCCAATACACCATCACTGCAGTGGAGGAGGAGACAGGATGGAGGGAGCACTGTAACAGGCAGCTGTCTGTGAGGTATGGGTGAGTAAACTTTTATATTTTAGCATCTAGACAAAAACGTTAGATGTTGTTATTTATATATTTTCCATGTTACAATTGTTTTTATGCAAATAAAATAAAATGTATTTCATTTTAAACATGCAAACATTGCACTTCTTCTGTGTACCACTTGCATCCAGCAGGTGAAACCCTACTTAAGAACAGGAGTTCTATGATCTTATTTTATTTAGTTAGCGCTGACTCTTTGGGGTTGATTTACTAACCTTATAAACACACCACAAACATGTATACACCTCTGTAGTGTGTTCCCTCCCAGCATGATCTATGGGTGGAATCTAAACACCTTCGTAGTGTGTACACACCCAGCAGGTGTGTTGTGCAAAGCCCTGCATGAATTACAAGGTGATGTTGTGTAAATTAGCTCTATGTTGTGTTGCTTGCGTTGATGAATGCAGGAATGTAAATGCATGAGCTAACCATTTTTGTCTAAACTGTGAAGCAGCATTGTATATGCATCATGTGCATGATTTTTCCATATATGGCATTAGTGGAAATATGCTTTTAGAGACTTTTTGGTTGATAAATAAGTTTTGCTGTGTGAAAATCACACGCACCTGGTGCGTGCATGTGTTTAGGTTAGTAAATCACCCCCTTTGTATCAGAAATCTTAGCATGCCTTGCAAACTAGGGGTGTTATTTACTAAAGAGCCAAAGGATCTAGCCATAGCTTCGGCTTGCTCCGCCCAGTTGTAATGACAGATCAGCGTCCCCAAATGACCTGATGAAGCTGAGCTGTCATTAACTACTTGAAGTCCGCTGTGTTAAACCCCCTTCCTGTCCAGGCCATTTTTCAGTATTCAGTGCTGCGGTACTTTGACTGACGTTTATTCAGGCATGCAACGCTGTACTGAAATGAATTTTATACAATTTTTTGGGGACAGATAGAGCTTTCTTTTGGTGGTATTTAATCACCACTGGGGTTTTTTATTTTTTACTATATTAAGGAAAAATTACCGAAATTGTTTTTTTTTTTAAACTGTTCACCCTATATTAAATTATAAAACATTTATTATTACTCAATTTTTTGGTAAAATATAAAAGACGGGGTCACGTCGGGTAAAAAGACACCAAACATGTCAAGCCTTAAAATTGCGCGCACGCGCAAAAACCTCATAAAAACTATGATACCCCAAATTTGCGATAGGTGACGCTTTAAAAGCTTTTGCTGCTCATCAGTTTAGTGTTATCAGAGATTGATGGCCCTAAAATTATTGCTCAGCATGTACGGCCGAACCGAATTGCAGAAGGAGTTCGACTCAGCTGATCCAACATCTGGATCGGCTGAGCCGAACCTTCGGCAGGCTACTCGCTGCTGTTCGGCCTATTCTCATAGATGCTGAACAGCAGTTAGTAAATAGCCGAATGCCGCCGAGCGGCATTCAGCTCGGCTATTCTGCATAGTACCTCTGTGGTACCGAGCAGAATAGAAAAACAGTTGAAAAAGTAGAAAAAATAAAATAGAAAATGATTGGGCGGAGTTAGCAGTGACAGCTAGCTCCGCCCAACTGTTTTCTTTTGGCCGGGACCAGCTGTCATTACAATGAGAGCTTGTCAGAGCCGGCGGTGATATCACGGCCGGCTCTGCTGAGCTCTCATGACAGTGTTGCGTCCCCTGGTTACCAGGTAACCAGGGGACGCTGAACTATCATTACAATGAGAGCTTAGCGGAGCCGGCCATTATATCAAAGCTGGCTCTGCTAAGCTCTCATCCTAATGATGGAACAGCGTCCCTACTTAACTGGTAACCAGGGACGCTGATCAGTCATTACTATTGTTTTATTTTTATATCCTTTTTTTTCTTTCCTTTTTCCCCTTTTTTTAATTTAATTAAATTGTTTTCCCATTTTCCGCTATATTAACATGTGTAGACAAAGCGAGAACTACCAGTACTTTGTATAGCAAGAGGAAACGGATTAGAATTGCCCCCTCCCCCCAGATACAAAGTAGATCGCTATCATGGCATAATAATACATACTATAGTATAAAGCTAATGGGATTATTGAAGGGGGTATAGTGTTGATATTGAAGACTATTGGATGATTTGTTGTGCTACACATGCTGTTTGATTGTAGCAAAATGTCTATTTATAAAAAGTGGAAAACCAATAAAAACATTGAAATACAGATGTTGGATCGGCTGAGTCGAAGTCCCTCTGCACTTCGGCTCAGCCGAACGCGCAGAGCGTGTTCGGCTGACCAAAGGCAGCCGTACAGAGCCGATGTATGGCTGATTTCAGCCGATGCATGGCTGAAATCAGCCGTGCCAAGCCGGAGTCGGCTCTGTTCAATTCAGCTTGATTATTTACTTGGCTGCCTTTGGCAGCTTTGTGAATAACCCTGTAGGTGTCTTAGATTTGCTTATTCATTTATGTTTATAAAATAAATATTTTAGATAATTCACTGAAAAAAACAAAGATGTAAATTAACCTGAACAAAAAACCTTCTAGTTTCTCTTTAAAGAACTGCGGGAGTCATATGCCTGCACAGTGTAAAACAATTGCTGCATAGCACACCTTTATAATCAAACATACTGAAGGGAATTTATCAAAACTGGAGCAGACAAAATCTGGAGCAGCTATGCATGGCAACCAATTAGCTTCTCTCTTTCATTTTCAAACCTTAACTGAACAAACTGAAGAGAAAAGCTGATTGATTGCCATACACAGCTGCCCCGGATTTTTTCTGCTCCAGTTTTGAAAAATTCCCCCCACTGTACATTAATCTCATATATACATATCTCAAATCCTTTCAGGGCTTGGAATATTCTTCATATATTTTATAAACATTAATAACACCTATCTTTTTATGTTCGCTAACTGCTCCTCATTTTTAGCATAGATGTATTTTCTTGCTTTACATTACTAAACAAGTAACATTAATGTTCATTTTTTAGTTCTCCTCGTTAGAAGGGAAGACACATCTTCAATGTACATATTTCATCCCAGCTTATTTTTCTATCTGACACATTTCCTTCTTGCTTACTTCCTTGTTTTTTGGTGAGATTTCAGTTTGAATTGCACAAGCCAGCATTAGGGAACTAGATATATTTACACATAACATTCTGGACTGAAGAACCACAAAGGTGGATTTTATCAAATACATGCAACAAGATCTTCATAAAAATAAAAAAACAAACCACAAGTTGTGAATGGAAATTTCACACCTGAATACAGATCAGCCAGTGGCTCCGGTGATGTACTGGACAGCAGCTGAAAAAGTAAAGGTCAGTGATAATATTAATGTATTTTTATAAGTTAAAGCACATATGTATGGAAAGAGTTATGGATTTTGATTTGATTTACTAAAGGAATTAAAGATGCTTGACTCAAAAATTGTGTAAATATTCCCTTCACTTATCTGATCACTTGAAAGGCAAATTCCTGTTGATTTTGAATATAGTCATGCAGATGCTTTTCACATGATTGGATAACTGAAGTGAATATTCACACAGTTTTAAAGAAAAATTCTACACTCCTTTAGTAAATGCGCCCAATGGGGGGCAGCCACTGCTGACTTTCTAAAAGTATGACTTGCTTGGCTGTTTCTGGCTTTTTCAAGTTGCTTATATGAAACAAGCTTATATTAAAGTAGGGTATATGCTGAATGAATTTTAAATGAACAAAATCTATTTTGGAATGTTCTTCAGACTTTCTAATAGTTGATGGAGTAAAATCGATGATCAATTTCCACCGCAGTGAGAAAGAAATTCGAAGAAGCATGTTGAAATGTTTGATCAAACACAATTCTATCAGTGAATGTGGTTTTTGTTCCGGAAACTCCATTCATCTCCAAATTGAATGTTAAATCAAAATCAAACAAAATTGTGAACGACATTCATCAAGGCTCTGATGGCATTATTCAAAGTTTCAATTAGATTATTTGTACGAATGTGTGTAAATCTACCAGTGTATAACCTACTTAAGTCAGGTTAAAACCAGACCCTCTAGTGTGCATACTTGTTCCAGGTTATTGGCTCAAAAAGTTATAAAGCCACTGGATCACCAAGACAGCAAGAAAGCTAGATTTTTCAGATAAATGGTTTATTAAATTCAGCCTCCATGTAATCTTAGTACAGGTTTCTTTTAAAGGACCACTTTTGTGAAAAACATTTGTTTTTGGATAATACCATTACCAGCTAAAGTCACAAACTATAAAACTGCCAGGGGTGCTTTCAATAATGACCTATCAATTGATTAATTAGTTTCCGAAAAGGGCAACTACTCAATCATCCATGGCACAGATTTGTTAGCATGTAAATACTAATGAATAAAGATATAGGAAATAAAAAGGGAACTCATAGTGATAATTATCTTTGTATGTGCACAGTGTCACATGCAAACAGAATTTAAAGACAAATATAAGACTTGGCTCAAATATAAGACTTAACAAACTGACTGTACTTGCCAAAAAATAAAGCCTACTTAGTTACATATTTTACTGTCTCCAGAATCTCCAGATGTACAGTAGCACTAGATAATGTACATATAAATGTAGCACTCATTAATATACAGGTCATTCACAGAGGGAGAAGGAGGTGAAGGGGTTAATATACAGGTCATGTACAGTGGGAGGATAGAGATATAGGGGTTAGTGTGCCGATGTGCAGGATTAGGGAAGTGAGGCATTAATATACAGTTCACTACAGGGACTGGATTGAGATGAGATTTACAGGTTAGAAGGGGGGTTGAAGAGG